AGTATTTATAATTCTTTAATAAAAAATGCTTATAAAAACAATTTCGTCAGATATATTATATCGCTATTAATTTGCATTAAAATAGCATTAAATTAGAGTCACTCATTCCTGTATGAACCCTGTGAGCGCTTAATTTAATATGACATATTAAAAAAATCCCACCATCATCCAGCATATGTTCAGTTTCTGCCCAAATATATATATATATATATATATATATATATATTTTTGTAGATTTTTGTAAGGGGGATAAGGATAATTAAAAACTGCTTTTTTTGAATGAACTTGTTCTCTACTCCCAAACTCAGCATCTCTTTTCATTCCTGTAATAAGAAGTTTCTTTTGAATGGATTTGATTAAAGTTTAAGTCCCTCGGTATAAAATAAATATTTTGATGGAGATGAGAAATCTGCTTCCTCGTTGGTGAATAACCAATAGTTTGGATCCAATCATTTAAATAAACGGTGTTAGTTTTTTTTTTTTATATATAAGAATTGTGCTATAATTTCTAGTCACCGATCTGTTGCTGCTATATTTTAATTTGACGAACCGGAATTTGTCGATGTTCTTTTTCCTGTTTGGTGCGATTGCAATTGCGGATCTTGACCTGGCCGGACCTTATGACCACAGTGTACCAATCTTCTGATGGCTACTTCCAACAGGATAATGCGCCATGTTATAAAGTGAATCATCTCAGACTGATTTCTTGAAACTTTTCAACTTAAGTAATTGTGAATTGAGCATATTGACAGACAACATTTTATTTTTTCTCTTAAATGCAATTTTTTTTTTATAATTACTGCTCTAAATGTATTGCTCTGTCAGCTAAAGATCTGTTTTGGTCTCTGTACTTTAATTAAATAAATCAATTCAAGCTAAAATGTAAGAGGCCATACTGAGCCTGATCTCTTTGAATCAGAGATTTTCTTACCTTTTAGAAAAATGTCACTTGGGGTAAAACCCCCCCTGCAACCCTGATTAGCATTTGTATAGCTCACAGCATGTTGATTTACATGTTAAAGCCTCCCCTAGAATTCCATGGGGGGGAGGCATGGGGGGAACACTGCCTAAGAAAGTCCACGTCAATTTCTGACAATTTACGGGAGTTTTCTGCGAAGCCTGCAAATTGCCGTAAACTGCCGCTAACCTGAAGTTCCACGACAATCTACAGTGCTGCATATTGACGAAAATCCCACTTTTCATGCAGTGATTGTGTACACCAATAATAAATATGCAGCAAGATAATAAAATGGGTTCCCACTGCTGGGTTTTAACAGCATACAATTTTTTAACCCCAGCTTTTTGTAATTTTGGCTTCTTGATATCATATGAGGTTCTAGAAATAATTGTGTCAGGTGAAACAAGTGAGCTGCTCTATATGGCAGAGATGGTGTATCACTGAATGTTTATGTATGCTCAAGGTCTCTTGTTTTTATTTTGGCTGAACTTTTACAACTTTTTCTTAATGCTTCAAAGTCAGCTTGAGATTTCTTCACTTCTATCCTAAGTTGCTAACTAGTTATTAGGTGTTGGTATTTGTACTGCAGAGTCATGTGAGGTTTGGCTTTGTTTGGCCTTTTTTTTTAGCATCTTTCTGAGCATCTTTTTTATAGTACTGTAGTGGCAGATATAGTAGCTGGTTCAGTAAAATGTCTGCACATATTTGCATTCAACACCACTCTGATCAGTTACCTTATGCCTTTTTTTATATCAGCCAATGTTAAATAATATGGAAGCTTATTTGTATTATGATTCATAAGCTAATGGTGCAGTGTTTGATTAAATGCCACAGGTTGCACAAATCAATGATTTGTACTAATTTTTCTTTTTGATTTTCTTTTTGTTCTGGTTTTCTGCAATAAACTTGGATTACCACCACAATGTTTACAAGACATGTTTTCTATTAGTTATTTGATAGTATTGTTTTCAGATTTTAAAACTGAGGTAAAGAAGAATAGATAGAAAAAAAATCCCACCGCTTGACTTTAAATTTCAGGCTCAGAACAAAAGGATTATTCGAGGGGAAAAGACAGTTAGGTTTAACAAAATGTTTCTTTAAGATGGAACTGAAAAGAACAGCGTCTAAGGCAGGAACCTCTGCGGGGGAGAACACAGGTTAGTGACCATGTAAATCTGGCGGGGGATAATAATGGACCTGAGTCACTAACCTGGTCTTGTAGTTCAGTCCAAGGCCAGAGGATGAGGTTGGTTCCAGCTGTTCAGCTACCAACAAGACGCAGTGGGCGTCGCCCAGAGAGTCCCAGAAGCTAATAAATCAGAGGGCAGAGGACAGGCAAGAGATCAGAACTGAGCAGATGAAAGAAGCTGGGATAATCCAGAGTGCAAAGCCAAAGCAGGTGTCGAAGACATGCTCAGGAGTTAGGAGATCAGAAGTCCAAAGAGTTACAGAAGGGAAATCCAGGACGGTATTGGGAAATAGTTCCAGGCTCGGTACACAGACAGGCAGAAATCCAGCAGGAGTGTGAGGACAGGTCAGGCAAACAGATCAGAAAAAGCAGGCTCAGAGGTGCAGAGGCAGATTGGGTCAGGATCGGGCAATCAGAAACACTCAGGAACACTAGAGGACTCTCACCAAAGGCTTGAATAATCTGGCATTGATGAATGGTTGAAGGCTGGTTAAACAGAGACTGAAGCAGGTGGAGCAGCAGTAAAGAGAACTGGGCCGAGATAAGCAGGTAAATGAAATGAGTATTAAGGCCAGTCATCAATATCAAGATCATGAGAATTAAAGGAAGTTATTTGTGGTCAAAAAGAAAAAAATATAAATATTTGTAATTAAATGAAGATCAGTATATTGCTGGATTTTAAAATGCTCTAATTAACTCTAAAGAAATTTGTTGGGGTTATTTTATTTTATTTTTTGTATTTAAAGGGAGTGATTTCTCATAATAATAATAATTACTCTTGGTGATTATTTTCATTTGTCAATTTTTAATCAATATCCTATTTAAAATACTTATTAGTACAGCAGCTAGTTGTTATTCTTGTGTGCCTTGCGATGGACTGGCAACCTGTCCAGGTCGTACCCCGCCTCTCACCTGTAGACGCCTGGAGTTAGGCATCAGCACACCTTGCGACCCCGCTTGGGATAAGCATGACAGAATATGGATGATTGACTTGTTTAATGCAAATTTTAATTGTTCTTTCGAATATTATCAGCCAAATCATTTTCTATTCCAGAAAGCTTTTTCTGATGTTTAAACAGTCTAATTTAGTTTTTTGAACACTGTATAAATATGACACACACTTCAGCTATTGCTTCAGAATTATTTGTATTAATTTTTTTATTTAAAAGAAATGTGCATATACACTCCAAATTGGTTTACTTTAGAATTATTCTCCAATGAATCATCAGTTTTAAATAAACATCCAATTAAAACTTCCTGTCATACAATATCAAAACAAAATCTCTTTGTCATGCAAGTTAAGTATCTCTGCTTTCCTTTGAAATCACGCATTATACAGAATTGTTTTGCTTTAAAAAAATAGTTAATCTGAATGCAAATAAATTTGTCAACAGATTTATCTTCAGTATTAAATCAAGATTCAATGACTTAATTATTTAAACAGATTTTTAAATCTTTTCTAAATAAAGCTAAATATGTTGTTTACGTTAAAATATTGCATTAACCTTGTTGTGCTATGGGAACCTCCCATTATCCTTACCCACTCCTTTTAATAACTGCATTAACTGTGAAAGAGACCTAAGTCCCTCCTTTTTAAAAAAAAAAAAAAAAAAAAAAAAAAAAAACCTCCTCACTCAGAATGAGAGGGCTAAGTTTAGCCATGGGACCTGAGTTCATTAGATAATCTCTTGTTTACCTCTACAAAAAATATAATAGAAATTGCAATGACCTAATTGGATGAAGCTTCAAAACATATGTTCTCTTTTTTTTTTTTTTTTTTTTTAAAGCTACAGTGTGTAATTTTCAGCGACATCTAACGTCCAGACTGCAGACCGCAGCAACATGAACATCTCCCCCCAACCGCTTCTCCCACCCAACATGACGGCGAGCGTTACGGGACAAAATGTCTTCCACGACGCCCGCATCACCTACCTTCACAAGTGATGAGGTTTGTTTAAATAGATAATTTTACAGATAGTATTTCATTAGTCTGTGTGTTCGGTACCGTCTTAGTTCATCTCTCTTAACTTGCCGTAGTTACTTTCGAGCGTAATGGGCGATCTCGCAATCGCTAGTTTGTTGGCTCTGCGCTGCCGTAGCGCAAAGATGTCTGCCTCCATGGCTGCGAGACCCGCTCCTATGTAATTATAAATAACGAATTCTAAGGCAATGCAAATATTAAGGTTAAGAGGCTGAGCTCGTAGATGATGATAAATAACATAGTTATGTATAATATATTACATTTCTGACTGTATATCCCTGTAATTATTACACACTGTAGCTTTAACTCACAAAATGTATTTAGAGCTCTAATTTAATTCACTTTAATCATGTATCCTATAAAAAAGTGTGTGCACAGAGCTATCTGAAAAGTTGGTTTTAACCCTTTAAAACCCGATCCAAGAATTAAAAAAAACAGAAAATTACTTTTTTTTTGGTTTGAAGTCCTTATTTGGCCTTTTAACAAAATATGTAAAAAGAAAAAACAGAAATACAGTTTTGATATTAATAATTTATTACTATGCGATAAGTCAAGATTATTTTTGTGTAGTCTTCTACTGGCTGTTATCAGGTATATCTGATTGTGTACAATAGGATTTTGAGCAATGTTTTTACCATTAAATTATGCAAAAGGTGTCAGACGCAAAACATTTCAGAAACCGTATGTATCAAATATGATACATTTGGCATTACAGGGTTAAAATTAAAAGAAATTAGCTCCTTGTCTGCACCTTGTTTGTTCAAGTCCAATAAACGAGTCCTTCTAGTGACAGTGAGACAGAGATCAGGTGTAAATTTATGCCTTTTTTTTCTGTCCTGTTTTCCATCCACATTCCTTCTAGAAAAGCCAATACAGATTGTAGCAGATATTGTAACCATTAGAAAATCATTTCATTTCCTGTAAGTAGTATTTCTTCATTGTATATGTTATTTGGCACTACCAGACAGAATATGGAAACTACCTAGTTCACCAGAATTGCTTCATGTGCTGTAAGGTGGTTTCCATGTGCCTGCTTGTTCATAAATGGGATTATCCCCTGTTCTTTTATAAGGGCATATAAAAGATAACAAACCTGCAATCAAAAGAATAGCAATATAAAGTAGAAGCCAAAATAAGGTTATATAAGAGTATCAAGTAGTGTCAGACTTCTGCACTTGCCAGAGCAAATCTGAAAGGTTGTGGGGAATTGTTGAATATGCAACCAAAGACATGTTTAATGTATTGTTAATCACTAATTTAACAAGGCCAGAACATTCCATCTGTTTTCAAACTTTTGTGTGAAAGAGCATTATTTGTTCAACAATGGCTATGTTATTTAAGGATTATCGCCACACAAAAACAACTGTCATTATAGCAATCAAAAGGGTTGAATAACATCAGTCTGGTCTAGTTCTGGAAGTTATAATTTTCTACACTGACAATCACCAACACAAAACTGCAAGAAAATTAAGGAGCCCTTCATTGGTTCTGATCTAGCAAGTCATTAAATATCCCTATGCTTTTAACTAACAAATACTGTCATCAGCGTGATGTTTTTGGTCTCTAGGATTAGAAAACATCCTGTACAATGAGACACATTGGTGTTGTATGAGGTGACAAATCAATGTCCAAGGAAACAGACGTGTTAAAGGAGTATTAACTCTTTCTCCACACTGGGATAACTGTCTGTCTGGGAGCAACACCACTGGAGCACGGTGCTGAAATACCGCTTGTTCTAGAACATTCAGCAAAAGTCTTCAGACACACAAAACAGAACTTGACCTTACACTGAGGACAGGTAAGGTGTTTGCAGTGGTTTCGTTTATGCTCCAGCAGTGATCCGCAGGTGGGACAGGCCCGGATGGAGGGACACCCGGTGATTCCTATCACTGTGTCAAAGACGATATCGGGGCAAGTTTGCAGCGTTTGCAGCACCGTGTTGCTGCAGCCTTCGTTCTCACAGCGGCTCATCCGTGGCTTTGGTCCTTTCCATTCCCTCAGGCACTGCCAACAGAATTCATATGGACGTCCTTTCTTTGCTGTGCACACTTTGCAGCCGACACAAAGATTAAATTCGTTTTGTCTTGCAACATGGGACATGCATCCAGGACACTGTGAAAGTGAGATTTAAATTGAGTGATATTTCCAAACAACCAAAACTGTAAAATAAAAAGGGTGGCTATAATAATGCTTACTCTTCTTTTATTAGAAGCATTTATAGCCATGGTCTTCTTGAAATACTTAATTTCCTGAGTAGTCAGTTGAGCCATCTTGCAGACCTCTTCAAAAGGCCACACAGCATCACAGCCAAACACAGCACACACAAAGGTGTTTTGTCCCTTTAGAATGATGAGAAAAAAACATATTAGTCAATAAAGTCACTATTTAGGGACAAATTCTCTCATTAATTGTTCATATTTAAACCATCTTACATCTTCCAGCAGCTGAAGACACCATTTAGTGAGAGACATCGGGGTGACTGCATGACCACAGGACATCTCTGCTTTTGGAGACTCAAACTCTTCACATAAAACTGAATGACAGGACAGATATAACTCAGTACCGAATGCATGAAAACTTTCATATACTCTGATTAGGCAAAACATTATGCTCATCTACACCCCCACCCAACCCTTTTCTGTCAAATCAGACTACAGTTAAATGATGTGTTCAGCTGTATCCTCCAAAGGCCAGATTTGTCAGCCAATTGAGTCACAACATAGCAAAGTGGCCTGTTCATATGCAAAGACTCCATCAATGTGGGCGATAACTGTGGCCTTCTTTTTCCCCAATTGGAAGGACAGATCCGGTGAAACCTTCGTGGACTACCATATCCCATGATTCAAAGCAGTTAACAGCAAGCCGGCTGCTCCATGCTCAGAGGAAAAAGGGAAATGGCGAACAGTTGTGAAAATTGTAAGTACAGTTTTATACAATAAAATAATGGGAATAGGTTCTTCGTAAATGAATTAAAATGGTAAATTTAAAAGATTAGTATTTTACATATGTTGCAGGTAATTATTGGTTTAATGAAAGGTTTTATCTGCCCCTGTGCAAATGGGTTTTGCTGACATTTAAGCATAGATTCCAATATTTGCGCAGTGGGGACTATACGTAGATCTGATAAATGTGATGATGGTACTGCTGCTGAAGCTCAAATATGTTATTAGCCCACAACAGTAGTAAGTACTGTAGTTCAGCATTCATTCTTTGCCTGCTTTGTGCGTCTACTGTCATGGTTGCTAGGCGACAGAGCTTACACCGGTGACAACTGCAGAAGGCTAGACCTGTTCAAATGTATAGCAGAACTTTTCCATCCACTTTATTTTCACGGCGTTATAAGGACCCATTCCAGGAAGACCAGATCCTTGGAGCACGTAGTCGCCAGAATCAAACACTTTCATGGTATCGGTTATCAAGTTTTTTTAGTTGGCATTCAGGAAGATCATTAATGAAATAAAGTTGTTTCTCCACCACTTTCATTAGATGCTCTATAACAGGGCAGCTTATCCCTGGTCCTCGGGGCCCACTGTCCTACACGTTTTAGCTGTTTTCCTGCCTTCACACACCTGATCTAAAAGAAATGATGATTAGCAGGCTTCTGAAGCAGCAGATGGCTGTCGAAGAGGTAATGCAATCATTTGAACCAGGTGTATTTAATTAGAGATACATCTAAAACATGAAAGATAGTGGGCCCTGAGGACCAGGGTTTAGAAACTACAATAAAATTGTTGGGAGCTGGAGAAGTTCCACCTTTCTCCAGCAGAGTCCGCCGTGGATCCTTCTGAGGGAGCCTCCTGCACAGCTGCAGCCCATCAAGATCATCAGAGGATCCACGATTCCAGGAAACCAGTGTCTCCTCTGTGAAGCTCAGGAAGAGCTAACCTGCCGAGCCGACCCTCAGAGCCAAACCTGAAGAATCATAGAGAACCTCCATGCAGCTCTGGACAAAGAGCTGGAAAACCCAAAACCAAGGTCTGTTCATTACAAGACGTGAGACGCTGAAGCAGCAAGCGGACTCTGCTGATGAACTCCTCCCCAGATCCAACAGTGACTCTCCCAAAGCTAACCTCAAGAACCCTCAAGGTACAACCAGTTATCTTCAAGAAATCAAGCTCCAGCTTGCAACGCTAACTGAACTGTCTCTCACTCAGACTCCGGTGAACCAGTTTCCGGGCCCGAACCAGAACCAGTACTTTCTGTGTGCTTGCATCTAAATAAACTTGTTAAACTTTTATTCCTGTGTCCGTCAGTGGTGTTCTGCATACTTGGGTCGCTTTTAGTGAACCCATCATGACAAAAATGTGGGCAACATTGTAGACAAAGTCAGGTTTTCTTTGTTCACTTTGCTCCTCAAACCATCCCTAAACCTTTTGTAGCTCTGCTTATTACTTTACTTTTATAGTTTGACCTTTAGGAATTTTCTGTTTATTCCCTGTTTCCTTGTTGTGTACGATCCTTACTCTCCAACCCAAATCATCACATTGCCTTCACTGCTTGCTTTCCTTCTTTCCACATGTTCTGATGCTGACTGGTGGAAATCAGTCAGCGTGGCTGACAACAATTCCAACTTCAATACCTAATCTTTGCATGGATCAGTCTTTTCTCCCCACTGTAAGCGGATCAAACATGCTGCAAGAGTTTTTCCTGTTTTCCTTACTTGTACCATGTGGACCACCAGGACTCCAAAGACACAAAGCTTTCCAAAAAGAGCAGCAGGTATGCTCTGATCCAGTATTATTATTTTACCTTTGGGTTCTCTCAGACTCCTTCATATATATACCCTTCTACAATTTAGAAGCAAAAAGTGCTTATTGTGGCCATTTATGATAAATTTTTGTTTGTAATTTCTACCAATTTAGTTTTCTTCTTTGGGTAGGTAGACTTTATCTAAGTTAATTTAGAACCAAAATTTGTAATATATTTTTTAATATATTTCTAATTGTTTAGATTAGGTTGTTAATTGTTAGACCCTCCCATTAATTTGAGTAATTAAGAACACACCAGGTCCTGGGTCGGGGTCGATTGTTTGGTAAATCTGGTGTGGACGGGAGGGACATTTTTAGTAATTATTTTGTTTCTGCTTTTCCAACAAATAAATCAGGTGGGAAGTGGGTGCAAATCCAAAGCACCTGTTACCACCCAGGTCCTTTGTTGGATATGTTGGTCTTTTTTTTTTTTTTGGAACAGAAGGATGCGACACTGCTGATCACTAATATATGCCACCCGGCTGGCATTATGGAGAGATAGCCAGTGTTATTATGATATGCCTGCTTGATGTTTCTTACTTTATTTCAAATTTTCAGTTGTTACTTACAGTCCAATTCATCCTCCCCGTCAACAATTTTGAGTGAAGGATCCTTAGGATCATAACACTTCTTCTTTGGAGCGGGTTTATTGGATCCCGATTTCATCCGCAGCCTAAACCTGAAGAGAAATAATAACTATTAATTGAACTATCAATTTCCTTCCCAAATCATGAACTGTGTTTGGTATTGAAAACGGTTATTAACAAAGAGCGGAGCAGAATAACTGTTGTTTATTTTCCTTAAGCGCGCGCCGCGCATGGGTTACAGCAAATCTATTTCCACTGATTATATTACTGGAATAAATACCCAACATGTAAATGAATAAAGGCCTCTTTACCTGCGGAAGTCTAGTCTTGGCGTGAAGATCTTGGACATTTCTACTTCTGGATTGGACGCGTTTCATTCATCAAAACCATGAGAAATGAGAAAAGCGCAGCTCCGACTGAACAGGATGATTTCAGCGGACTGATTGGATCAGTCTGAGTCTGCGCAAACAGCCCACTTGTTCATTACAGGTTTATGTGCTGGAGAAAATAAACATCAAAATAACTTTGAAAAAAGCAGACAAAAGCTTTAAAAAGCACAAATTAACACGGAAAGAAGCTGGAAATTATGACTCGCTGTTCTGGATATTTGGTGCTGAAATAGATACAAAAAGGAGCCATCCATCCCACACCGAACGATATGGGCCATACCTACTGCTTTAACCATCAATTATTTTAAGTTTTTTTTATTATTATATATACATTTCTACATTAATATTAGTTAATGAAAGAAAATAAAAACAGAAGGTTTTAGGTGTTTCAGAGGCGATCATCATTTTGCGAACAGCACAAACATTTAACAACCAATCTATTTCTCAAAGGAGTTATCAATTCAGGCTCCTTTTTATATCAAAGTTGGTGTTTAAAAAAAGTAGCTAAGATTAACGTTTTTATGTAGTCTACACGAATAGAAAATATAATGGGATTATAGGGTAAGAGGGCATTCAAAGGCAGAGGAAGTCATAATCTTTCTATTAAGGTTTCATCTAAAAACAGATCATCAAACCAGTTTTTGCAAAAAATACATAAATCTATCAGAGAGTAGTTTTAAAATGGACTTTCTGTGAGATACTAGAGAAAAAAACTATGAGACAATGTATGAAATAAATATTTTTTTTAATCACGTGTAGTTTGTCCTACAGATTTTTCCATGCAATAATATATTAATTGAAAAACAAAAACATATTTTTCTTCCTCTAAAGGCTCTTTAAAGTATTGCGCTTCTGTTGATAATTGTTGTGTTATGAACGGGATTATAACTTCTCGGAATAGCCTATGCTTCCGGAAAATCAATTTTGAAAATAGTTTTCCTGGTTAGATAAAACAGCTTGGAAGGTAAAACATGATCATGTGTTTTGACCTAAATTCCTGGACTTTTTTTTTTATTTTGCTTTCGCTTTAAAGAACACGCCCAATTTATATCCCATAAAGGCCACTAACCGGTGGCAAATCAAATCAGATCACAGACCTACAGCTCAGATAAAGAACCATCATGTAGATCTGCTCGTCCTTTGCTCCAACCTTGGAGAGGTCAGCTATGTGAACACCAAGGGCCCTCTGGGGAAGATGACTGTTCTGGAGCTGAAGAAATATGCGGTGGATACCTTTCCTAAATCAGGTAAATGCCTAAAAAGCTATTAAGATTTTATACATGTTGTCATGAAGGGACTTTTAGGTGCAGTTTGAAATCAATAAATAAAAATAAAATAGGATAGTTTATACGGACTGCTTACATAATACCTTTTTGATAATATAGTTATTTCTATTTTAACCATAGGCAGTTCTCTGCAAAAACAACAACAAAATATAATGACAGCAGTCTATGGAGGGTGCCCTCGTTTTTTTTAAATTCATACTTGGTTTTTGTTGTTGTTGCTGTTTGTTTGTTTTTGATTGTTTGTTTGTTTGTTTTTTATTGTGTAGGACCAACCCTGGATGACATCAAGCTGGTTGTCGGGGACAAGCCTCTGGATGATGACTCTGCTTCCCTCTCTGACTACAACATCAAACCCAACACCAAGGTTCAAATGGTCAGGAAGGTGAGCGGAGGCTGAGAGGCAGCAGGAGACAGAGACACCTGAAGTCTGTCATTGGGATGCAGCAAAGGAATGGACTGATGGGGAGGTTGGGAACATTTACGCAACAGAGACATCAGCTCTACATTTGATGACTTCTATTTTTAACTTTACTTACCCTTCCTGAATGGTATCATAGCCATTTTCATTTATGGTAGCACTTTGAGGATTTTCTGTTTGGTTAAAATTAGGAACTTTTTTTATGTTTCTGATTATGATGTGGAATTGTAGTTAGTGTATAAAGTGGTCTTGTAAATAATAACCACCTGATTCTTCAACATAATGTTGGAATGAGTTTACAAATGTTCATAAATTGTGAATATGTAAGAAATCTATTCTGTAGAATACTCTAAATTATTATGGAAAAATCCAATAAAATATTTTTTATAAAATGTTCTTTGTTTGATGTATTTATTCTTTGACTCATCTATCCACCAAGGCCGAGTTTATATTCATTTACTTATATCATTTGTGTTTAGTAATTCATGTAGTTGTATTTCTACTTTTAACTTATTCAGTAGTATAATAGTTGTTTTTTAAACCAAGATATCTTATCTTTTTTATTACCGGTATTATCCTTTTTTCATTTATGTACTTGTTCATTTGTATCAGTATGTTTTTATGAAAAATCAAACCCCTTTGCCAAATCTTAACTAAAAATCTTAGAATTTAGCAAACATGAATATAGCCTTAAGCAAGCCTAAAATATTGAGAACTCACTGCAACTGCAAAATAGTGGAATAATACTGGAAAAATATTACTGATTGTGACAGTGAAAGACAGTACTGTGGGAGTTAGAGTTAAATATTAGCTTTAACAAAGTTGTTATTGGGTTTTTTTGTGATTTGGCAAAGTATACTTCTTGTTTTCTTTTTGTTAAATGTAATCTGGGGAGCCTCCTGGTGGATGACAATGGGGAAAATACTGTATCCATGTTTTAGAACTATAGAAGGTCATTAATCATTTTTTAGATAATTACAAACATCTCTTTAAAATGACATTGGCTGTTCTTTTTTTGTTGATTTTCCTTTTGAGCTGATGACAGCATTGGGAAAGCATAATAACAGTATAAAGCTAAATAAATGAAAACATGAGAGCCTGCTGGCAAAAACAAATATGACATTTAGATACAAACAGAAAGCAGCTGAACTAGGATTGGGCTTCCTCCAGATATCCTCCAGAATATGTAAGAAATCTATTCTGTAGAATACTCTAAATTATTATGGAAAAATCCAATAAAATATTTTTTATAAAATGTTCTTTGTTTGATGTATTTATTCTTTGACTCATCTATCCACCAAGGCCGAGTTTATATTCAGAAGATACTGTATCCATGTTTTAGAACTATAGAAGGTCATTAATCATTTTTTAGATAATTACAAACATCTCTTTAAAATGACATTGGCTGTTCTTTTTTTGTTGATTTTCCTTTTGAGCTGATGACAGCATTGGGAAAGCATAATAACAGTATAAAGCTAAATAAATGAAAACATGAGAGCCTGATGGCAAAAACAAATATGACATTTAGATACAAACAGAAAGCAGCTGAACTAGGATTGGGCTTCCTCCAGATAGATTTAACTCTGAATATTATGCAACTTTTTTTGTTCCGTAAAAATTCAAAAAATATCCACTGGACTTGGTTCCACTGGACCCTTAATGGCAATCCCCCCTTTAACGACCGACCCCTAGAATCAGACAGGTTTCAGATATTACAGGCTAACGATGGAACTAACGACCCATTCATCGGTTAACATTGCATGTTTCCAAGCGATACAAGGCGTTGTCTATATAAGACTCAAACTCACTGCGGATCCAGACATTTGAATTGAGAAAGCTTCCTGGAGAGGTGGAGAAACGTCTTCAAATCTTGAAAACCAAGTCCAGTGGATATTTTTTGAATTTTTACGGAATGACTTTGACCTGGATGACTGAGAACCTTCATCAGCAACTTTTTTTGTTTTTTATTTTTATTTTATTTATTCAAACTAATTTATACCTGCTGCTGAAAACACTATTAAAATTGTATGTATGAACTTTAGAAAATATTGGGGATTATAAGTTATTTTGTGTATCAAATTAAATCAATAAAATAAAACTTGCATTGCAAGTTACAGCTTCTAGGGCAGAGGTAACCAATTAAAATTCAACGGGGTCTGAATAAAGAAAATCATCAACCAGTTAACGTCCAGAGACATTTTTAATTATGATCTGTTACTTTAAACTGAATTTTACAGTGAAATAAAATACATGATTTTATGCATCCAAGTTATATATTGACTTTTTAAATAAAAAAATATAAAAAAAAAAAATAGAACATTGTGGAGGTTCCTCCATCTTTTCCTCCGTGTTAGTATTTCTTTATTTATTTAAAGGTCTTCACACAATAGATTTATAATTTCACTTTTGTGGTGTTTTTTTGGCATTAGGTTGTTTACTATTATGGGTGCACACATTTAGTAAACACATTTTTGTTTAACTACTTTTCTTTGCTGAGTTTGAAGGACTGGCTGAGTGGAGAGGACTGGTTGAAAGGCAAACCAGGAAGTGGGACGTACCATCAGGTTTAGTGTCCTGGTGGTTAGATAGTACACATTACACTACTTGGAGCATCTGTCAATATTCGAAGTTTAATAAGCAGACTGTAAGTGTCCCTTTAAAAAATTGGTAAAGAAGAATGTAGGTGAGAAATTTCCCTGTTAAGGTACAATAAACTAACTAAAAACATTTTTTGGTGGTATTGTCACATAAGTTAGGGAGGAAAAAAAGATTTTAATAAATAAAAATCAGCATTTCAAGTTACAATAACATAGACTTAAATGTTGGGAAACTTAAAAAGAAAAACTTAAGTGATTAAGTTTAGGTACTAAACTCAACAGTTCCTGAAGTTTTTTTCCTACATATTCTGAGTTCTCACGTTTTCAAATAAACTAAACGCAGTGTGGAATGTTGATCCTATCATTAGTCTCTACCCAGAAATGAACAACCAGCTGTTGAAAATCCAGCTACCTATGTTTAAACATGATTAGGCTACATGCATCATTCTTGTGGAGAACAGTTTAAACATTCTCTAAGGTTAGGATTAGAGCTGTAAGGGTTATTCACTGCAGTTGAATCTCTGGTCAGGTTACGGGTCGTTAAACCAGTCTCTTCCTCTGAAGCAGAGAGATTTAAGGCTTTGAGTCACACAACTAGGACACCACAGATATTAAACAACGTTGCAGTGTGCAGATTTTTTTATTTACAGATAAAAGGAATAAGAAATCTCTGTAATTCCTGTAAGCTGTATATCCTCTTTATCTGTTTGGCACCAACAAGCAGAGCGTGGGAATTACCTAGCTTACCAGCATGGCTTTATGTTTGATTAGCAGGTTTCTATTTGCCTGCTGGATCATCTGGTACTTTCACATGTTTGTTTAAAAGAGCATTTTAATCTCCATGGTGACAAACCTGCAATCAGAAGAATAGCAATAGAAACCAGCAGCCAAAATAAGGTTATATAAGCATATCAAGCAGTGTCGTTGTTTTGGCTGGCGACCTTTGCCAGAGCAAAACTGAAAGTAGAGGAAAAGGGTTGCCGGGAATTTCTTGAACTTTAAATCTTATGCGGGTTAATTGTTAAATACTAGTTTCACAGAGGCTAGCACATACCATCCATTGTTGGCCTGGTGACCTTTACGGCAAGTCTTCTCCCTTCCTCCCCTCCCATTTCTCATCTACCTACTTTCAGTATAAGAAAAATAAAGGCCACTGCAGCTTTTGAATAATCTTTAAAAAAGTGCATTATTTTATCAATAACAGTGAAAAAAATCCAGCACCTTAAGTATTGGTGGAAAACACCAGCAACTGCACACAAGTTACTACCGATGATTTGTCCTTTAACCCAAAAATCAGCTTATGTTACTAGGAGGAACATTTGGTAGTTTTGAGCAAATAATGGCCAAAGAAAAAAGAGTGAAGGATTGAGTTTGGCAAGAGACGTGAAAGAACCCTGATTTTCTTTACTTTGGGCCATTTTAAGCTAAACATCACCACTGTCAGCCTGCAGTGGACCAATGTGCAACAATAATTCAAAATGTTTTCAATGAATCGTATGAGCAGATCAACATATGGATAATTAAGCTTTATTAAGAGAAGAAACGTATAGGGAGGTGGATGGTATGGAGCAAGCTAAAGGTTACACAGTCACACCTGGGAACAACTCCAGAGGATCCAGCAAGACAATAAAGGGAATGAAAACTTAAGTAGAGGAAAGGGTGCATTTAATAATGGTAACACAGGGGAACTGAATCTAATAATGAATCTACAAATGACTAAGAAAGAAATGTTTAAACATGGGTAAACAGTGAAAGACACAAGAGAAAATGATAAAAAAATATATAGGAATATTCTCTAACTGAAGTAAAGACAAAACCACTAGAAAAACTAGAAAATAAGCAAGAGAAATAAACCAGTAAAACTTAAAAAGGTGAATATAAGACAAAACAACAAAGATATAACATCAAAAGATACAGCATCATACTAGACAGAAAATTAATGAATTAGTCAGTTGTCATCCAATACCTATGTTACATGATAACAATCAAAGGGCTGAATAGCATTAGTCTGGCCTAGTGTCCAAGTAAAAGTCTTCGGCATTGACCATCACTCAAAACGTCAAGAAAATTCAGGATCCCTTCCTTGGTCCTCTTTCAGCAAATCATTAAACTTACAGTATGTACCAATTACTGGGATATATTCACATAAATGTAATATATTATGTTATTTATTGTCCCCTGTGAACTGAAGCTTTCCATCTCTATATTTGTCTTGCATTAGAAATTGCTTTTTATAATTACATAGGAGTCAGTTCCCATTTGTGGAATGGTTCATCTTTGCACTACAGCAGCTCAAAGCTGACAAACTAGTGACTGTAGAGATCTGCATTACACTCAATTGGGACTGTGGCAAGTTAGGGCTATATACAATCCTACACAGACTAATAAGATACTATCTATGCATTTATCTATGTAAACTATACTTTCACCAGCCACGACCGCCCAGTTATTACTTTATGAGGAGTGTTGGCCCAGTGATGTGGTGTTTGTGTCTGGGATAAGAAAAACCTACTGTACAATGAAATAAATTGGTGGTATTTGAGATAACAAATCAAAATCCAAAGAAATATTTCTTTCTCCAGACTGGGATAACTGTCTGTCTGGGAGCAACACCACTGGAGCACGGTGCTAAGATGCCGCTTGTTTTAGAACATTCATTAAAAGTCTTCAGACACACAAAACAGAACTTGACCTTACACCGGGGACAGGTAAGGTGTTTGCAGTGGTTTCCTTTATGCTCCAGCAGTGATCCGCAGGTGGGACAGGCCCGGATGGAGGGACAACTGATAAATGCTATTGTTGTATCAGGGCAGGTTTGCAGAGTTTGCAGCACCGTGTTGCTGCAGCCTTCGTTCTCACAGCTGTCCCACCGCGGCTTCGGTCCTTTCCATTCTCTCAGGCACTGCCAGCAGAATTCATATTGACGTCCTTTTTTTGCTGTGCACTCTTTGCAGCTGACACAAAGATTAAATTCATTTTGTCTTGCAACATGGGACATGCATCCAGGACACTGCGAAAGTGAGATTTAAATCGAATGATCTCTCCAAACAATCTAAGCTGTAAAATAAAAAATCTAATAATCTATTAATACTTACTTTTCTTTTATTAGAAGCATTGAAGTCCATGTTCATTTTAAAGTACTTGATTTCCTGAGTAGTCAGTTGAGCCATCTTGCAGACCTCTTCAAAAGGCCACACAGCATCACAGCCAAACACAGCACACACAAAGGTGTTTTGTCCCTTTAGAATGATGAAAGAAAAAAACACATTAGTCAATAAAGTCACTATTTAGGCACAAATTCTCTCATTAATTGTTCATATTTAAACCATCTTACATCTTCCAGCAGCTGAATACACCATTTAGTGAGAGACATCGGGGTGACTGCATGACCACAGGACATCACTGCTTTTGGAGACTCAAACTCTTCACATAAAACTGAATGACAGGAAAGATATAACTCAGGACCGAATGCATGAAAACTTTCACATACTCTGATTAGGCAAAAAATTATTTTAGAACAAATCATTAGCTTTTGTATTTTTTAATTTATTGGTGAATTATGTTTTGGTTTTGTTTAGGCTTTGTAGGAGCCAACTATTTTTTGTTAATAATTAACAAAGTTTTTTATTTTTGTAGATAATCTAGCTAAGTTTATTTTACTTTATTGGTTGATATCTGTTATGATATATATGTATGTATGTATATATATAGTTATGGTCCTTTGTTTCTGGTTAATTATGATTAATTTGGGTGAATTGTTTTTATAAATAGGCTGTCTATGGTAGGACCAGCATGCATCTCGTTTGGTGTATTGTTTTTTTTTTTTTTTACCAGCGCAAGAGAAGCATAGAGGAAATATTTGTCCTTTTCTGTTTGCTTGCCTGAGGAGAAATTAAGAAAACTTAAGGAGTTTATCTGGAACTTTTTTTTTCTTTTGCCTTCTTAAATTACTCGTCCGTTGTTCATCTGTGGCCTTTGTCGACCTTTTTTGTATCACCAAAGCTGGGTCACAGCAGGCTTCTTTTAGACTGTAAGGTAATTTGCCTTTGTTTAATTTAGTAACTTCCTCCACCAATTATCTGCTTTCCATTTACTTTTTGTCTTTTTTCAGCTTTTTTTTCATGGTTTCATCATCTTTTGGGTATTGTTTAGCTTATATTTAGCAATTTTCTTTTCAGTTCCTGTTTCCCTGTTGTGTAAGGTCTCTGTTTCCCCCCCAGGTGATGATAAATGTCAAAGTAAACACCTTCTTACTACATCTGCCTCATATATGGACCCTTCTACACTTTAAATGCTAAATTTTAACCTGCAGCTCCCCAATATATCTCACCCATCAACAGCTGACATTATGAAGAAATCAGTGTTATCACCTAACACTTAGGTGATTATAATGTTCTGCCTGGTTGGTGTGCCCTGCTTTAGGTCACAACAGAGGAAAAATTTACTTGGTTAGAACTGATCGTTCTCTGCTCTTACTTACAGTCCAATTCGTCCTCCCCATCAACAAATGTGAGTGAGGAATCCCTAGGATTATAGCACCTCCTCTTTCGAGAGGGTTCATCGGAGTCCATTTGCATTCGCAGCCTAAAGAGACATAAAAGGAAAAACGATAATTTTCCTTCCTAAAGCACAAACTTCTTTTAGTTTATAGCTATTAACAAGCAGAATAAATAATCAAATTAAATTTTCTTAAGCATGCACCACACTGCAAAAAATTAAAATCTAAATAGGTATTTTTTTCTTAAAATAAGTGTATTTTGTCTTGCATTGATGAGGTAAGTGAGACACTTTGCGAATGGAACATTTAAAATAAGAAAAAGCAGCTGCATTGTCTTATTACAAGTGCATATAATCTAATCATCTTATTTTAAGAGTAAAAATACTCATCCTATTGGCAAATCATCCCATTAACCTACTAAAAGTAAGGGTAAATACACTTGATTTAGGACATTTTCTTACTTTTTTCTAGATATGTTTTGCAGTGCAGGTTTAGGAAAGTCACGCATACAGGGTAACCTAATGTTACAGCTATAAATACGTAGGAAGGAAACACATGCCTACCTGCGCAGGGCTGCTCTTGGTGTGAGATCCTCGGACATTTCTGCTTATGGATCGGACGCGCTTCCTACAGTGGAAAGCAGCTGAAAGCAGAAATGCGCAGCTCTGCTGCTATTATAACAGGATGACGTCGGCTGCGCTGATAGGATCAGTCCTCATTCTGAGTCTGCGCAAATGCCACCGGCCTGTTCCGTACAGGTTCAAGTGCTGAAAAAAAAACACAAACAAGTAGGGAAAAAAAGCTCTAAAAAAAAAGGAAAGAAAAGCTTGTAATTTAGACTCTACTCCCTTCTGTCGCAGTTTTCCTCCTTACCTTTAGTACATAGAAATGAGCCATCACCAATTATTATGGGCGATTTCATACTGCTTTGACCAACAATTATTTTTATTTCTTCAATTTAAACATTTTCAACGTTAATGTTAGTTGATGAATAATAATAAAACAGGAGTTGGTGTTTTAAGGTGATCAGAGGCCATCATGAATTTGCAACCAGCAAAAAATAACCCATCTACCTCTCCATTAAAAGATTAAATCAGTATTTCTGTTTTTTTTTTTTTTCTTTTCTAACAAAGCACATATAATGTTTGAAACAGTAATTCTCTATGTAGGTAACACGTATACAAAATTTTACGGATTATAAAGTGTGGGGAGGAAAAGGGGTATGTAAAAGGAATGAAAACTCGCCCTTTTTTATAAATCTATATTTTCTATATAGCTTTATTGTAAAAATCGATCGTGAATCTGATCTTAAAAAAAAATCTAAAGGAGAAGTATAGCACAAAGATTTTTATTTTCTTTTAAAGCATTTTATCACATGCACTGTGTCCTATGCTATTTTTTATGCATTAATATATTTTATTTTTTTATTTCTCTTCCTACATCTGACGCTCTGGAAACTATTGCGCTTCTATTGTTCAAATAGATGTTTGACGGACAGGATTTTAACTTCATACACATCACTTCGTGCATGCATGCGATTAAATTCATTTCGAAACTTTTTCCTTGGTTGGATAAAAAAAAGAAATGCAAAGAAGATCAAATGTAAATCTATGGGAATCCCGCACCTTTTTCTTTTGCTTTCGCTTGTTATGTCACGCCCAATGTTTCCTCTAATAAGAACACGGGTCTAAAACCACATCCGATCACAGACCTACCAGCTCAGACGAAGAACCATCATGTGCAAAACAGATCTGCTCCTCCTTTGCTCCAACCTTGGAGAAGTCAGCTATGTGAACACCAAGGGCCCTCTGGGGAAGATGACTGTTCTGGAGCTGAAGAAATATGCGGTGGACACCTTTCCTAAATCAGGTAAATGCCTAAAACATTTTTAGATTTGACAAATGTTGTGATGTCTTTTAGGTACATTTCGAAACCAAAACAATAAAAACAAATTACACTGATCGCTTAGGACTAACAGATTTCGGTAGTTAATATTATGAGTAATTTTTTCTTAACTTAAGTGCATTTTTCTTGAATTGAGGAGATAAATGAGACACATTGCCAATAGAATAAGTTAATTTGCAGTGACAATAAGAAATAACAATTGCATTGTCTTATTTCAAGTGCATATTATCCAAGTATCTTATTTTAAGAGTAGAAACGCTCATTCCACTGGCAAATCATCTTATTTACCTCCTCAAATTAAGGATAAATACACTTGACCTAAGACATATTTGCTTATTTCTAGATCATTTTTGCAGTATGTATATATATATATATATATATATATATATATATATATATATATATATATATATATATATATATATATATATATATATATATATATATATATATATATATACACAAGTGACAACAGGCTTTGGAGGGGTGTCCCGTTGTCTCTCATTTTTCTTCATGCTGATTTTTTTTTTCTTTTGTTTGTTTTGTGCAGGACCAACCCTGGATGACATCAAGCTGGTTGTCGGGGACAAACCTCTGGACAATGACTCTGCTTCCCTCTCTGACTACAACATCAAACCCAACACTAAGGTTCAAATGGTCAGGAAGGTGAGCGGAGGCTGAGAGGCAGCAGGAGACAGAGACACCTGAAGTCTGTCATTGGGATGGAGCAAAGGAATGGACTGATGGGGAGGTTGGGAACATTTACGCAACAAGAGAGACGATTATTGCTTTCAGCTCTACACTTGATGACTTCTAATGTTTTTGAAGCAATTTTCATTTATGATACCACTTTGCCGGTTTCCTGTTTTGTTTAAATTAGGAAGTTTTCTTTATGATTTTGGTTATTGCCGTTAGTGTATGAAGTTGTTCTGTTAATAATAACCACGTGATTCTTCAACATCATTGAAATAATTTTAAATATATTCATAAACTGTACATATTGAATAAATAACTTCTGTAGCAAGATCTAAATTAATCTGGAAAAATAAATAAATTTTTATTTTTATATTTCTGTGTGTTTGTGTTTTGTTTTATTCACTTATTCAGTAATTTAATTCTGTCATAGTGGTGCTGGAGGTTTGACAGGACCCAAATGCAGACTGAAGCTGAAGGAGTTTTCTTGAAGTTTAATTACCCAAAGTTTAATAGAAGCAAAAATCCCAAAAATATAAATCCATAAAAAATTCAAAAACGCTCAAAACCAAGAATACTCACAACAAGAAGGGGACAAAGTAATGAGGACAAACCAGCAAAGAGTGACTGAGCAGGAGGAGATTATATGGGAGAGACAAACAAAAGACCAGGATAATTAGCAGAATGGGAGCAGGTGTGAACAGAGGCAAGAAGGGAGCTAGGGAAAAGGAGACTGACATAAGAGGGCAAACAGGAAATATCTAAGAACTCAAATACAATCAAAAATACCAAGAACACAAAAATCAAAAAGACCAATGAAACATAGAGATAAAACTTGAACAAAACCAAAATTATGACAACTTGTATATTTCTATATTTCCTTTAAGCTTATGTATCTATCTTTTCCATTTATTTACTTGTTAATTAGCAGTTAGTTAAAATTGAAGAAGAATCAAATAATAATGCAAGTAATAATCCAAACATCTTTAAAATCTTAGAATCTTGCAAACAGCATATTCCATAAACATAGCCTTAACTAAAATTTTGAGAGGTAACTGTAGCTACAAAATAATAGTGAAACTTGACAATGAAAGACAGTGGGGCAGGAGGTGGAGTTTAGTTAAAACACAAAACTTCTTCTAGAATATTTCTAAGTGATCTGGACAAGTTAAAAATATAGAAATGGGGAAAGTTGACAATAAAAGCTAACAGGTTGCCATGGGGCCAGACATAATGTATTTTAAAAATACATTATGTCACTTTTATTATTATTTTCTTCAGTATTTATTTATTTTTTTCCCAAAAAAAAAAAAAGAGTATACTGGGAAAAAGAAAGATACAAGAACTTATCCGAAAAAAAAAGACATTTGGAAATACTTCAAACAGAAAGCAGCTCAACTATAGCACTGGACGTCCTCCAGAAAAATTTAACTGCACTTGACTTCTAGGGAAATTCCCACTCTTATGAAAGCGGGGAATAACATGCAAAGGTTTTTTTTTTAATTGAAACTAATTTATACCTGCTGGAGAAGACACAATAAAAATGTATGTATGAACTTTTGAAAACATTGGTGTTTATTAGGTATGTGCATTATTTCGTACACATTAAAAGCAAGAAAATAAATTTAGCGCATTTCCGCAGTTTACAAAAAGACGACCGATTCTAACTGGCTTTAAAAAATATATACTTTCAATATTCTTGCAGTAAATCTTGATGGTTTATGACATAAAATAGCATATTTGAATGGTGTGGTCCGCAGGGTTTTAATACTTTTGCAGTGAAGTGAAAATCCAGTATGCTGTCCATGGTCCTGAACAAGCTTCTTTATACATTTTTGTAAATACACTGAAGTTGGTTCTGCTCGTTTCTAATGTTCTAATATTTCTGGGTAGAAATATTATCTATTTCTGTCTATGAACTTGTGCTCAGTTGTTCTTTCAGGAAAAGGGGAATGTAATGTCACAAAAATGAAGAACTCAGAAGAAATTCTAACTCTTTCTCCACACTGGGATAACTGTCTGTCTGGGAGCAACACCACTGGAGCAAGGTGCTGAAATGCCGCTTGTTCTTGAACATTCAGCAAAAGTCTTCAGGCACACAAAACAGAACTTGACCTTACACTGAGGACAAGTAAGGTGTTTGCAGTGGTTTCGTTTATGCTCCAGCAGTGATCCACAGGTGGGACAGACCCGGATAGAAGGACACCCTGTGATTCCTTTCACCTTGTCAAAGACGATATCTGGGCAGGTTTGCAGAGTTTGCAGCAACGTGTTGCTGCAGCCTTCATTCCCACAGCGGCTTATCCGTGGTTTTGGTCCTTTCCATTCCCTCAGACACTGCCAGCAGAATTCATATGAATGTCCTTTCTTTGCTGTGCACACTTTGCAGCCGACACAAAGATTAAATTCATTTTGTCTTGCCACAGAGGACATACATCCAGGACACTGTTTGGAAGCAGATAAAGATTTAGAATGAATTACCAATAAAATGTTTTAAAATAAACTTAAAGGATAAAATCCATACTTTTCTGGTAACAGCAGCATTGAGGCTCCTCATTTTTTTGAAGTATTTCCGTTCTTCAGGAGAAAGAAGAGCCATTTTCTGAACTTCCTCATAGTGCCACCTAGCATTACACACACCACACACAAACCTGCTTTGTCCCTTTAAAACAATACAAAAACATTGATGGGTCATCACACTAGAAGCTGACGCCGGTTAATAGTTAACTACATGAAATACATCCTTCCATCTACTGTATACAGGCCTATGAATCCCAGTATGGATCATATTCTGAAAGGACTTGTTGACTAAAGTATCAGTTTTATGTAAACATGGGTGCAGATGGTGCTTCCACCTATAGGTCAAACATCTCTTGTGCAAAATAAAGATAAAGAAAATTCTGTATCTTTTGCTATTGTTGGAGTATCTAACATCTAAAGATGATAAAGAATGAATGCTGAGATTTTTGTGCCTCAAGGAGCCTCTGACCATTACACAGGATTTAAATTATTATTTTGCTAACTTTATGATAAAGACTAATGGTAACTC